ATATAAAAATATTTACTTTGTTGAAAAATTTAATTGTTCAATTTACTTTGATTTTACCAGATTTTAATGAAAGGAAATGTGTTTGCTACAGACACCATTATATCTACATTGATGACCTGCACAAGATCTGTGTACTCTTGGGACATTATAGCACATGTATGGATAGAATTTTTGTGAGAATTATCAATATACTATGAGTGATATTTATAACTATAAATTAAGTATTTATTTCATGTGATTTTAGCGTGTTGGCTCAAAACTGTTTTTTGACATGAGAGATGAATCAGCGTTTGGTTTGTAAATTTTTAGTTTTAATTGATAATTTAAGAAACAACAAGCTTTTTTATTATTGATCTACGTTTTTTAGATCTTTTCACTGTTGATGAGACAGCTGTGGAAACACCTATAGATGATAATGCAGAGAAAAGCATAAACTCTACGACGAACCTTGGTCTTGAAGCAACTTTTATAAACCAAAATTTCTCACAGCAAGTCTTGAAACGCTCAGAGGAAAAGGAGAAGTTTGATAAACCAAATCCTTTCATTGCTGAAGATAATGAAGAAGAAGAAAAGGTGGCATCCGTTGGTTACAGGTAAATTGTTCTTGTATAAATATAGATTGAAGACTAAGATCTATAAAAGGAGATATTGTGCTTTACAGCGTGCATAAAAAAATTAAACCATTTAAAAAATGTCCAGCAAACTATCATTTCATCAACATCCATGTATTTTGGCATTGTCTGATTTATCTAAAAGTAAAAACAATCAGAAAAATTTATCTGGAAAATAGGGAGAGCACTTTGTAAAAGCGTCAATTTAACTGCTTGCTAAAAGAAAATGAAAGGTTTAAATTTAATTTAATCGACCAGGTGAAAGTTTGTTATGTGCGGTGAAAAATTTTAGAAAATTTGATGTTCACCGCGCAACATTTCAAAATTGGACGTTTTGTGTGTTTCACTCTTTTTTTCTTATTCAAGACTGATTACATGCATGATTGATTGTTTGAATTTACGTAACTAACAAAAATACTTAATTTGAAGGACAAACAAGTTTGACCTTCAAACAAGTTTTTTCTAACTTTTTTGATACACCCTGGCATACATGTGCTAAATTTTAACTATCATTGCTTTATGTTATTAAAACGCGCTGGAAACATGTTTTGACTTATTTATTTCGTAGTTTTTTGATATCACAAAAATTACTAAATATTTTATTTCATTGTGTTGAAAGTATACATGTTTTGCTAGCTCCTTTTGACTTTCATCCTTCGCTGCGACCTTCCCTCGTTAAAATGTTGTATTAATCTCAACCAGTGAAATCATTTGTCTCTTATTTAGATATCGTAAATGGAATCTTGGCAATGATATAGAAATTGTTATAAGATGTGAACATGATGCAGTATTGTCACCTGGAACTTACATCAACATAAAGGCTCTAAATGAATGGGAATCTAAGGTACATTTATGTTTATGTAGGGAGGTATTGGAGAATGTTGTCATTACGTCATGTACAGATGTGTAGAGAGGTATGGGAGAATGTAGTCATTACGTCATGTATGTATGTGTAGGGAGGTATGGGAGAATGTTGTCTTTACGTCATGTATGTATGTGTAGGGAAGTATGGGAGAATGTTGTCATTACGTCATGTATGTATGTGTAGGGAGGTATGGGAGAATGTTGTCATTACGTCATGTATGTATGTGTAGGGAGGTATGGGAGAATGTTGTCATTACGTCATGTATGTATGTGTAGGGAGGTATGGGAGAATGTTGTCATTACGTCATGTATGTATGTGTAGGGAGGTATGGAAGAATGTTGTCATTACGTCATGTATGTATGTGTAGGGAGGTATGGGAGAATGTTGTCATTACGTCATGTATGTATGTGTAGGGAGGTATGGAGAATGTTGTCATTACGTCATGTATGTATGTGTAGGGAGGTATGGGAGAATGTTGTCATTACGTCATGTATGTATGTGTAGGGAGGTATGGAAGAATGTTGTCATTACGTCATGTATGTATGTGTAGGGAGGTATGGGAGAATGTTGTCATTACGTCATGTATGTATGTGTAGGGAGTTATGGGAGAATGTTGTCATTACGTCATGTATGTATGTGTAGGGAGGTATGGGAGAATGTTGTCATTACGTCATGTATGTATGTGTAGGGAGGTATGGGAGAATGTTGTCATTACGTCATGTATGTATGTGTAGGGAGGTATGGGAGAATGTTGTCATTACGTCATGTATGTATGTGTAGGGAGGTATGGGAGAATGTTGTCATTACGTCATGTATGTATGTGTAGGGAGGTATGGGAGAATGTTGTCATTACGTCATGTATGTATGTGTAGGGAGGTATATGGAGAATGTTGTCATTACGTCATGTATGTATGTGTGGGAGGTATGGGAGAATGTTGTCATTACGTCATGTATGTATGTGTAGGAGGTATGGGAGAATGTTGTCATTACGTCATGTATGTATGTGTAGGGAGGTATGGAAGAATGTTGTCATTACGTCATGTATGTATGTGTAGGGAGGTATGGGAGAATGTTGTCATTACGTCATGTATGTATGTGTAGGGAGGTATGGGAGAATGTTGTCATTACGTCATGTATGTATGTGTAGGGAGGTATGGGAGAATGTTGTCATTACGTCATGTATGTATGTGTAGGGAGGTATGGGAGAATGTTGTCATTACGTCATGTATGTATGTGTAGGGAGGTATGGAAGAATGTTGTCATTACGTCATGTATGTGGGAGGTATGGAAGAATGTTGTCATTACGTCATGTATGTATGTGTAGGAGGTATGGGAGAATGTTGTCATTACGTCATGTATGTATGTGTAGGGAAGTATGGGAGAATGTTGTCATTACGTCATGTATGTATGTGTAGGAAGTATGGGAGAATGTTGTCATTACGTCATGTATGTATGTGTAGGGAGGTATGGGAGAATGTTGTCATTACGTCATGTATGTATGTGTAGGGAGGTATGGGAGAATGTTGTCATTACGTCATGTATGTATGTGTAGGGAGGTATGGAAGATTGTTGTCATTACGTCATGTATGTATGTGTAGGGAGGTATGGAAGAATGTTGTCATTACGTCATGTATATGTATGTGGGGAGGTATGGAAGAATGTTGTCATTACGTCATGTATGTATGTGTAAAGGAGGTATGGGAAAATGTTGTCATTACGTCATGTATGTATGTGTAGGGAGGTATGGGAGAATGTTGTCATTACGTCATGTATGTATGTGTAGGGAGGTATGGGAGAATGTTGTCATTACGTCATGTATGTATGTAGGGGGTATGGAAGATTGTTGTCATTACGTCATGTATGTATGTGTAGGGAAGTATGGGAGAATGTTGTCATTACGTCATGTATGTATGTGTAGGGAAGTATGGGAGAATGTTGTCATTACGTCATGTATGTATGTGTAGGGAGGTATGGGAGAATGTTGTCATTACGTCATGTATGTATGTAGGGAGTATGGGAGAATGTTGTCATTACGTCATGTATGTATGTGTAGGGAGGTATGGGAGAATGTTGTCATTACGTCATGTATGTATGTGTAGGAGGTATGGGAGAATGTTGTCATTACGTCATGTATGTATGTGTAGGGAGGTATGGGAGAATGTTGTCATTACGTCATGTATGTATGTGTAGGGAGGTATGGGAGAATGTTGTCATTACGTCATGTATGTATGTGTAGGGAGGTATGGGAGAGAATGTTGTCATTACGTCATGTATGTATGTGTAGGGAGGTATGGAGAATGTTGTCATTACGTCATGTATGTATGTGTAGGGAGGTATGGGAGAATGTTGTCATTACGTCATGTATGTATGTGTAGGGAGGTATGGGAGAATGTTGTCATTACGTCATGTATGTATGTGTAGGGAGGTATGGGAGAATGTTGTCATTACGTCATGTATGTATGTGTGAGGAGGTATGGGAGATTGTTGTCATTACGTCATATGTATATGTAGGGAGGTATGGGAGAATGTTGTCATTACGTCATGTATGTATGTGTAGGGAGGTATGGGAGAATGTTGTCATTACGTCATGTATGTATGTGTAGGTATGGGAGAATGTTGTCATTACGTCATGTATGTATGTATGTGTAGGGAGGTATGGGAGAATGTTGTCATTACGTCATGTATGTATGTGTAGGGAGGTATGGGAGAATGTTGTCATTACGTCATGTATGTATGTGTAGGGAGGTATGGGAGAATGTTGTCATTACGTCATGTATGTATGTGTAGGGAGGTATGGGAGAATGTTGTCATTACGTCATGTATGTGTAGGGAGGTATGGGAGAATGTTGTCATTACGTCATGTATGTATGTGTAGGAGGTATGGGAGAATGTTGTCATTACGTCATGTATGTATGTGTAGGGAGGTATGGAAGAATGTTGTCATTACGTCATGTATGTATGTGTAGGGAGGTATGGGAGAATGTTGTCATTACGTCATGTATGTATGTGTAGGGAGGTATGGAAGAATGTTGTCATTACGTCATGTATGTATGTGTAGGGAGGTATGGGAGAATGTTGTCATTACGTCATGTATGTATGTGTAAGGAGGTATGGGAGAATGTTGTCATTACGTCATGTATGTATGTGTAGGGAAGTATGGGAGAATGTTGTCATTACGTTATGTATGTATGTGTAGGGAGGTATGGGAGAATGTTGTCATTACGTTATGTATGTATGTGTAGGGAGGTATGGGAGAATGTCGTCTTTACGTCATGTATGGTTAGGGTTAGGGTTAGGGTTTGAAAACCAGTCGTTGTTTGATGTTTGAATTTCTCCGCTACTTTTGACCCATTTGCCTCGTTTTATTTAGTTAGTAACTTTCATTTGTGTTCCAGCAACCACATTCGTTGTTTGCATCGCTTTTGAAATTGTTCCGAGAAAAATTGTATTTAGAACGATTTCATCTAAAATCACGCTTATTTTTGTTCGAATTTACCTGCTTTGTTTTGTAGAGAATTGAAGAAAGTAAAAGTAAAAGAAAAATGGGACTTAATATATTCATTAAAGAATGTTACTGATGGTATGTGTGATGTTTCACGTCGAGTTATTCCTTACGGTATTGCCTATCATCATGGTGGTTGGACTATGGATGAAAGAAAGTTAATTGAAGAAGCCTACGCTCGAGGAACCCTTTGTGTTTTGACATGTACATCAACATTGGCTGCGGGGGTCAATTTGCCTGCAAAGAGGTTAGGAATTACAAACGCTTTCTTTTGTTAGAGCGAAAAGTAAAGATAAGTTATTATTTTGAAGGAAGGTTAGGGTTAGGGTTAGGGTTAGGGTTATAAATATTTTTAGAAATCATTGTCGTATTGTAGATTTTGTAACATTTGAATGTCGGTTGTGTATTCATTTTCGAACTGTGGTTTATAAGAAACCCAAGCAGTATTGTGCACAGTGGTATAGTGTTGTATGAAAAATTCAAAAAAAAAGGGGTGGGGGAGAATATCGCTGACACATAAACCGTGGTAATAAGTGGTTATTTTGACTATAGTTTGCCTTTATTGAAAATGCGTTAATTTGTTCCGAAGTTAATATTACATGAAGCAAAATTAAATGGAATTTAATGGTGAAATGAAATAAATGTTTGAAACATGTTATGGTTGATTGAAATAACGAGTGTAAGTCAGTGGGTTTTTTGAACTTTGCACTATCCTTGGATCCCTTGTTATTGTAACGTGATGGCTTTTATGATGTCGACTTCCAAGATCGATTTCCAAACATTTTTCTGTTAGGCAACCGATAAGAAAATCCTCTTTAACGATCCTGATCATCTTAGCGTTCTGGTGCAAGAAGTCATTCCAAATTATTCCTGTTTGTTATTATGTCCTACTAAACAAAACTGTGAAAATGTTGCCAAGCTACTGGCATCATCTCTGTCAAGGTATGGAACTTATTTGTTCATATGTATGTTGCATAACTTACAAAAAAATGCTTACCTTAATTATATTTGAACTCTTAAGTTTAATTTGAACTGATTTGTTAGTGATTTTTTTAATTGCTTATGATAGAAACATAATATCGATAATTTTTTCATGAAATTACAGTACCAATTGTTTTCACAATAACAACATTCTCTACTTTTAACGCAATGCAATGCTCATGAATCGTTGAATAACCTGGTATATATATGGGTTTTTTGATGTTTCTTATTTGAAAACCAGTCGTTGTTTGATGTTTGAATTTCTCCGCTACTTTTGACCCATTTGCCTCGTTTTATTTAGTTAGTAACTTTCATTTGTGTTCCAGCAACCACATTCGTTGTTTGCATCGCTTTTGAAATTGTTCCGAGAAAAATTGTATTTAAAACGATTTCATCTAAAATCACGCTTATTTTTGTTCGAATTTACCTGCTTTGTTTTGTAGAGAATTGAAGAAAGTAAAAGTAAAAGAAAAATGGGACTTAATATATTCATTAAAGAATGTTACTGATGGTATGTGTGATGTTTCACGTCGAGTTATTCCTTACGGTATTGCCTATCATCATGGTGGTTGGACTATGGATGAAAGAAAGTTAATTGAAGAAGCCTACGCTCGAGGAACTCTTTGTGTTTTGACATGTACATCAACATTGGCTGCGGGGGTCAATTTGCCTGCAAAGAGGTTAGGAATTACAAACGCTTTCTTTTGTTAGAGCGAAAAGTAAAGATAAGTTATTATTTTGATTAGTTTTATTTTGTTAGTAAAGATAAGATAAGATAAGTTAAGATAAGATAAGGTATAATTATATATTTAAGTTAAAAAGGTTAGGAATTACAAACGCTTTCTTTTGTTAGAGCGAAAAGTAAAGATAAGTTATTATTTTGATTAGTTTTATTTTGTTAGTAAAGATAAGATAAGATAAGTTAAGATAAGATAAGGTATAATTATATATTTAAGTTAAAAGGTTAGGAATTACAAACGCTTTCTTTTGTTAGAGCGAAAAGTAAAGATAAGTTATTATTTTGATTAGTTTTATTTTGTTAGTAAAGATAAGATAAGATAAAAGATAAGATAAGGTATAATTATATATTTAAGTTAAAAGGTTAGGAATTACAAACGCTTTCTTTTGTTAGAGCGAAAAGTAAAGATAAGTTATTATTTTGATTAGTTTTATTTTGTTAGTAAAGATAAGATAAGATAAGTTAAGATAAGATAAGGTATAATTATATATTTAAGTTAAGAATTCCGGTTCTTTAACAAACAAAGGCCTATAAATAAAAAACTACACAGTAGAATTATTTTAAATTTGGCCAGAATATAGATCATTATATTGTCTATAACATATCCAAAATCTTCAGATGGCACAAAAAATAAGTTGCAGAAAATCATCGACAAAGTCGGATGACACGAATGCGCGTAATATAATCTTATATAATTAGGTTGAGAATTTCAAGTCATTGCAAAACAAAGGCCTGTAAATAAAAAACTACACTGTAGAATTTTTTTAAACTTGGCCATGTTGTAGATATTTGTACTGTCTAAAATATATCAAAACTCTGGAGGTGGCACCAAAAATAAGTTGTAGAAAATCATCGACAAAGTCGGATGACACGAATGCGCGTAATATAATCTTATATAATTAGGTTGAGAATTTTAAGTCATTGAAAACAAAGGCCTGTAAATAAAAAACTACACTGTAGAATTTTTTTAAACTTGGCCATGTTGTAGATATTCTTACTGTCTATAACATATCCAAAATCTGGAGGTGGCACAAAAAAATAAGTTGTAGAAAATCATCGACAAAGTCGGATGACACGAATGCGCGTAATATAATCTTATATAATTAGGTTGAGAATTTTAAGTCATTGAAAACAAAGGCCTGTAAATAAAAAACTACACTGTAGAATTTTTTTAAACTTGGCCATGTTGTAGATATTCTTATTGTCTATCACATATCCAAAATCTTGAGGTGGCACAAAAAATAAGTTGCAGAAAATCATCGACAAATTCGGATGACACGAATGCGTGTAATATAATCTTGTATATTTAAGTTAAGAATTCCTGTTCTTTAAGAAAAAAAGCCTTATAAATAAAAAAGTACACTGTAGAATTTTTTCAAACTTGGCCAGAATATAGATAATTATATTGTCTATCACATTTCCACAATCTGGAGGTGGCACAAAAAATGAAAGTAATAATATTCTTTGAGAATGTACTCTGGTATTAATTGTGAAGTTGGCACCACATTCGAGAAACAGCTCTATAGCTAAAAAATTACACGGTAAAATTTTTTTAAACTTGGCCATGTTGTAGATATTCTTACTGTCTATAACATATCCAAAATCTGGAGGTGGCACAAAAAAATAAGTTGTAGAAAATAATCGACAAAGTCGGATGACACGAATGCGCGTAATATAATCTTATATAATTAGGTTGAGAATTTTAAGTCATTGAAAACAAAGGCCTGTAAATAAAAAAACTACACTGTAGAATTTTTTTAAACTTGGCCATGTTGTAGATATTCTTATTGTCTATCACATATCCAAAATCTTGAGGTGGCACAAAAAAATAAGTTGTAGAAAATCATCGACAAAGTCGGATGACACGAATGCGCGTAATATAATCTTGTATATTTAAGTTAACAATTCCTGTTCTTTAAGAAAAAAAGCCTTATAAATAAAAAACTACACAAGAGAATTTTTTCAAACTTGGCCAGAATATAGATAATTATATTGTCTATCACATATCCAAAATCTGGAGGTGGCACAAAAAATGAAAGAAATAATATTCCTTGAGAATGTACTCTGGTATTAACTGTGAAGTTGGCACCACATTCGAGAAACAGCTCTATAGCTAAAAAATTACACGGTAGAATTTTTTTAAACTTGGCCATAACTTATTTTTTTTTTAACATATCCAAAATCTGGAGGTGGCACAAAAAAATAAGTTGTAGAAAATTATCGACAAAGTCGGATGACACGAATGCGCGTAATATAATCTTATATAATTAGGTTGAGAATTTTAAGTCATTGAAAACAAAGGCCTGTAAATAAAAAACTACACTGTAGAATTTTTTTAAACTTGACCATATTGTAGATATTTGTACTGTCTAAAATATATCAAAACTGTGGAGGTTGCACTGAAAATAAGTTGTAGAAAATCATCGACAAAGTCGGATGACAAGAATGCGCGTAATATAATCTTATATAATTAGGTTGAGAATTTTAAGTCATTGAAAACAAATGCCTGTAAATAAAAAACTACATTGTAGAATTTTTTTAAACTTGTCCATGTTGTAGATATTCTTATTGTCTATCACATATCCAAAATCTTGAGGTGGCACAAAAAATAAGTTGCAGAAAATCATCGACAAAGTCGGATGACACGAATGCGCGTAATATAATCTTATATAATTAGGTTGAGAATTTTAAGTCATTGAAAACAAATGCCTGTAAATAAAAAACTACACTGTAGAATTTTTTTAAACTTGGCCATGTTGTAGATATTCTTATTGTCTATAACATATCCAAAATCTTGAGGTGGCACAAAAAATAAATTGCAGAAAATCATCGACAAAGTCGGATGACAAGAATGCGCGTAATATAATCTTATATAATTAGGTTGAGAATTTTAAGTCATTGAAAACAAATGCCTGTAAATAAAAAACTACACTGTAGAATTTTTTTAAACTTGCCCATGTTGTAAACAGAAAAAAACAGAAAAAAACAGATAAAACAGAAAAAAACAGAAAAAAACAGATAAAAACAAACAGAAAAAAACAGATAAAACCAGTAAAATTAACGATCACGTATTGTTACCAGATTCAAGTGTTTCCATCCTAGTTTTCAATGCGTCGATTTCTTTAACTTGCCTCAATAATCTCTGTCGTTCTTCTTCATTACAACATGTCAACTCTATGAGCGCAAGAAGAATTTAATGTCCTCAGAAAAAAACAGATAAAACCAGTAAAATTAACGATCACGTATTGTTACCAGATTCAAGTGTTTCCATCCTAGTTTTCAATGCGTCGATTTCTTTAACTTCCCTCCATAATCTCTGTCGTTCATCTTCTTTACAACATGTCAACTCTATGAGTGCAAGAAGAATTTAATGTCCTCAGAAAAAAAACAGATAAAACCAGTAAAATTAACGATCACGTATTGTTACCAGATTCAAGTGTTTCCATCCTAGTTTTCAATGCGTCGATTTCTTTAACTTGCCTCAATAATCTCTGTCGTTCTTCTTCTTTACAACATGTCAACTCTATGAGCGCAAGAAGAATTTAATGTCCTCAGCAAAATAAACAGATAAAACCAGTAAAATTAACGATCACGTATTGTTACCAGATTCAAGTGTTTCCATCCTAGTTTTCAATGCGTCGATTTCTTTAACTTGCCTTAATAATCTCTGTCGTTCTTCTTCTTTACAACATGTCAACTCTATGAGCGCAATAAGAATTTAATGTCCTCAGCAAAAAAAACAGATAAAACCAGTAAAATTAACGATCACGTATTGTTACCAGATTCAAGTGTTTCCATCCTAGTTTTCAATGCGTCGATTTCTTTAACTTGCCTCAATAATCTCTGTCGTTCATCTTCTTTACAACATGTCAACTCTATGAGCGCAAGAAGAATTTAATGTCCTCAGCAAAAAAAAACAGATAAAACCAGTAAAATTAACGATCACGTATTGTTACCAGATTCAAGTGTTTCCATCCTAGTTTTCAATGCGTCGATTTCTTTAACTTGCCTCAATAATCTCTGTCGTTCTTCTTCTTTACAACATGTCAACTCTATGAGCGCAAGAAGAATTTAATGTCCTCAGCAAAAAAAACCAGATAAAACCAGTAAAATTAACGATCACGTATTGTTACCAGATTCAAGTGTTTCCATCCTAGTTTTCAATGCGTCGATTTCTTTAACTTGCCTCAATAATCTCTGTCGCTCTTCTTCTTTACAACATGTCAACTCTATGAGTGCAAGAAGAATTTAATGTCCTCAGCAAAAAAAAACAGATAAAACCAGTAAAATTAACGATCACGTATTGTTACCAGATTCAAGTGTTTCCATCCTAGTTTTCAATGCGTCGATTTCTTTAACTTGCCTCAATAATCTCTGTCGTTCTTCTTCTTTACAACATGTCAACTCTATGAGCGCAAGAAGAATTTAATGTCCTCAGCAAAAACAGATAAAACCAGTAAAATTAACGATCACGTATTGTTACCAGATTCAAGTGTTTCCATCCTAGTTTTCAATGCGTCGATTTCTTTAACTTGCATCAATAATCTCTGTCGTTCTTCTTTACAACATGTCAACTCTATGAGCGCAATAAGAATTTAATGTCCTCAGCAAAAAAACCAGATAAAACCAGTAAAATTAACGATCACGTATTGTTACCAGATTCAAGTGTTTCCATCCTAGTTTTCAATGCGTCGATTTCTTTAACTTGCCTCAATAATCTCTGTCGCTCTTCTTCTTTACAACATGTCAACTCTATGAGCGCAAGAAGAATTTAATGTCCCCAGCAAAAAAAACAAATAAAACCAGTAAAATTAACGATCACGTATTGTTACCAGATTCAAGTGTTTCCATCCTAGTTTTCAATGCGTCGATTTCTTTAACTTGCCTCAATAATCTCTGTCGTTGTTCTTCTTTACAACATGTCAACTCTATGAGCGCAACAAGAATTTAATGTCCTCAGCAAAAATAAACAGATAAAACCAGTAAAATTAACGATCACGTATTGTTACCAGATTCAAGTGTTTCCATCCTAGTTTTCAATGCGTCGATTTCTTTAACTTGCCTCAATAATCTCTGTCGTTCTTCTTCTTTACAACATGTCAACTCTATGAGCGCAAGAAGAATTTAATGTCCTCAGAAAAAAACAGATAAAACCAGTAAAATTAACGATCACGTATTGTTACCAGATTTAAGTGTGTCCATCCTAGTTTTCAATGCGTCGATTTCTTTAACTTGCCTCAATAATCTCTGTCGTTCTTCTTCTTTACAACATGTCAACTCTATGAGCGCAAGAAGAATTTAATGTCCTCAGCAAAAAAAAACAGATAAAACCAGTAAAATTAACGATCACGTATTGTTACCAGATTCAAGTGTTTCCATCCTAGTTTTCAATGCGTCGATTTCTTTAACTTGCCTCAATAATCTCTGTCGTTGTTCTTCTTTACAACATGTCAACTCTATGAGCGCAAGAAGAATTTAATGTCCTCAGCAAAAAAAAACAGATAAA